AGCTAGTCTTAGCTGGGGAGGATAAAGAGAAATGGGCAGCCCCTGAAGCCTTGCCCTCATCTGAGAGACAAGACCGACAGGTCTCGGCTAAAATTAAGGTGAGCAAGGCCATGCGTGTCCTAGGCAGCAGGCCCTTTCTTAGAGGCCCAGATATCCCCAGAGGACCAGGCTTCCCCCACATGCACACATCCTAGGGACAAGCAGGCATGGGAAGTTGCTGCCCTCACTGAGAGAGCGTGGCTGGGAGGGGGGGGGCCCAGTGCCCCACACGTGCCGGGTCAGGCAGTGGTGACATCCCAAGGGGAGAGGACTTGTATCCTTGGCTGCTTGGAGAGAGTGGGTGTGAGCAGCAGATGCACCCGCAGGTGGCAGCACTGTCCCTGGCAGTGGGTGCTGCCTCCAGTATGCAGGCATGCCCGTGTGCTGTGTGGCACTCCTGTGTGTGCCGGGGTGGGAAAGGCATGTCCCCAGCCTCTGTCCAGTGGTGGGAGGGTGTCTGAAGTGTGGCCAGATCCCCAGACCCTGTGAGCAGGAGCCCAGGGGTGCTCTGGGGTAGCCTCTTGGGGGTGTGTGGCCCACGCTGGTGCTGCATGTGCATGGACTGCAGCGCGATCCCCAGGCTGAGAAAGCTGAGTGAGGAGTGGGTCCCAGCCCCGCGCCGCTTGTCATAGTGTGGGTAGTATTACATCTACTCTCTGCTGTGTTGTGCGCTGTGTGTGTGCGTGCGTGTACCTGTCTTCCCTGGCCACTGCAGCGCTCTCTGCATGAGAGCACGACTCACTCCAGATGTGTATTGGGCCCAGACACAGGAAATCCCAACTCCTGCCCAAGAGGGGAGACAAAGGATAGGCAGGGCTGACTCCAGGCTGGGGGGTAGGGCCTGTGGGAAGAGCCAGTCTCATCTGTGTTAGGATGAGGGAAGGATCTGGGAGCAGGAGAAGGGCCCAGGTCCCTGGGAGGAACAAGGCTGTCTGCTCTTGGGACCTTTGTTAACATCCGTCCTATGCTACGCTGTGTCCCTGTGAACCAATACACCTTCTGCTCTACCTGCTGGCCTAGCGTCACATCTGACTGAATGGGGGTGCAGGGTCGGAGATGCCCAACACTCCATGACGCCACCCGCTACCTCGTCAGTGTAAGGTAACTCCGATCACTCACTGATGTTCCCTCCCCGGCCTCAAAGGATGACTGGGACACGTCCAGGCTATGGGGTACCGGCTCCAACATCACCAAGGTGACAGTGCTGGCTGCATCAGGGTCGTCGTCCTCCTCTGCATCACTGTGTCTGCCCCATGGGTGGGCAACAACAGGTGTCGCCAGCTCCAAGTCAACCGCCATAGGTGGGAAAGGGGCTGCTGCCCCTCAGGATGCGGAGCAGGTCTTGGTAATAGGGGCAGGAGTGCGGTTCTGCCCCGGAGCGGAAGCTGCACTTCCTCACCCTGGAGTAGGCCTGGCGGAGCTCCTTCACTTTGATCTGGACCTGCTCCTGGTTCTGGATGTGGCCAGACTGTTGGCCATGCAGCTGTGGATATCAGCCTTGCACCGTCTGGAGCGGAGATCCTGGAGATTTTCGTCCTTGCTCAGTGAGGGCCGGGATCTTTGCCCTAGACCAGGACGGCACATGCCTCTTTTGCCACCTGGCAGGTACCTGGGAGCCATGAGACTGCTCCCTGGCAGCAGGGGGGAGCTCTTGGGGGGCTCAATGATGTTCTGTGGCAGCAGCAGAGTGGCTGGAGGCTGAGAGGGCCAGCCCCCTGCTACAAGCTCTTTCCCCTGTGGCTGCAGCTTTAAGGGCTGCAGGGGAAGAGGAACTATGGGGTCCTGAGGGGTGTGGTTGGGTTGGCCAGCAGAGCAACTGTGGGATTTCCTGGGGGCCCCTTATTTTGAAATAACTCTCTGCGATTTCCAAATAGGGGTGTTTCCTCATGGAATGAAGTTTATGGATTTCGGATTAAGCTGTCCGTTATTTAAAAATAACGCAATTGCTGTGTAGACACTCGCTTTGTTGTTTCGAAATAACGGTGCGGTGCAGTGCAGACGCACCCCACGTGGCGGTTTTAGTCGTGGAGGTTCACAATGAAACCTTCAGTAGAAAGTGAGATGGAATCTTAACTTTAGAGTGGCTACTGTGTTGCTGTGGTTCCTGTGCTGTGCCTGTGTATGGTTTCCTGATTTCTAGAGTGGGGCTGAAGCTACCAGTCGGGGTGGAGCTCCTGTACAAGTGCAAGAAAATAGATTACAGAGAGATCAAGAGTTTGGATTTTTGAGACTTTGAACACAGCTCAGTTTCTTGCACTTTCAAGTGAATTGCAAAGTGAACTCCAGTATTACAGAAGGAATTAATTTTTAATTGGTCTTTTGTCATCCTCTCCCTTCCTGCCACGGGATCCCTTTCTCTTTCTCTGAAATGGATTCTTGCTGCATTGCATCCAGTGGGGAAGGGGTTGGGAGGGGGGAAGCCAGGCTGCGGGTTGCCATGTTTGGATTGGCTCAGGAGTGGTCTGATCAGAGATCCTTGGCTGTCTTGCCATCTGCACGGGCTGTGAATACTTTTTGCTGGCGTAGACCTTGTTCCTCAGGATTACGTCATCTCTGGGAAAATGGCCAGGTCCGGAGCCCTAGTACAGATTTTCTGAAACATATGAGGTTTGTTCTGTCTCTGAAGTATCTGTTCTTCCTGTCTCTCCTTTCCATGGGATTCCTGAAACAAACTGGTTCTGAGAGCCTCTCAGTAAATCAGTTTCCCTTTCTCAGCTGCTTCCTGTACACCTGGCTGATGCAATGTCTGCTCTGAAATCCCTGTTGGACCCATGCTAGAGCTGTTGTGTTAGCCCTTCCTGGGAGTGGCCAGGCAGCCAGCGGATTGTCACACAGCTGTGTAAAGGACATGGAGCCAGACTTTACATGGGGAGTTCTCCCCACAATCAATGGGAGGACTGGTGATTATAGGCCTTTCCTGGCAAGTTATGCTCATGGGGGGCCTTCCCCCGTCACAGCTTGGGGAGAGTGCTGTGTGGCAGTGAATTCTGGGGATTCTAGTTCTGTGTTCAGTGATTCCCCATGACTTCCTGTCAGGGTGGATTCGATTCAAATCAGATGGATAGAAATCCCTAGGCAGGAGCATTTTTTCACAACTCAGAGACCAGAGGGAGGTTTTGTGGTTAGAAGGTACACGGTACAGTGGTTTACTTTTCAGATAAGTTTTGCAGCTAGATCAGAGGATGAATGCTTGCTTGGTATTTCATTTACCAAAGGTAATTAGAGCAGATATTTATGAAATCACTGGGAGGTGAGCTATCTCCAGTTCATCAGGTTAATTAATCCGTAGTACTGGGAGGATTTTCTTTCCATGCTGTGTTAGGAGAACATCGCCAGACAGATATTTTAACTAAAACAGCAAAGTTCTGTAGTCTGAATTTTATCTTCAACCGCAAACATATTTTAACAAAATAAGTATATGAATTTTTGAATGTAGTTAAACATCCAAGTTTTTAAACATCAGGTTTGTTTTTATTAAAATTGTTTAACTAAAATAGTTAAATGAAATTTAAAACAAATTAAAATGTCATCTAGGTCAACATTATAAACTTACAGTATTGGCTTCTGCAGCCAACTCTCTCCTCACCTTCATTTTCCTGTTTGGTCATAATTTGGAAAAGAAAAGCAAGTTTTACTGCTTCCTTGGGCCCAGACAGTTTATCAATTTGAAATTAATTCGTTCACAGGAAGAAAATATTATTTCGATACTGACAGAAGAAGCTACTGCTGTTAGGTGAGATTATCACTTCAACAATCTCTGAATCCAAGTGCTTAAGTGGCTTCCACCAGTTCCTTCTGTGACTTTCTTTAAAACATCATCAGCAAAGATATTTTGAGAATGGTTCACCCTTCGCTCTGACGTTTATTTTAGTTGGCATTAGGGAGGGATGATTGCTGGATGCCTGTGTTGTAGCCAACTCCTCTTCTTCAGCAGTTAAGGTTTGACCCTGGCACTGAATATTGAGACTATTTGCAGGAAAATAAGCTAAAGATAGCACTTGTCTCATTCGGTTTTTAGCGTTTGTAATTTAACTCCGTCGTTGCGTATTTCTCTCTCAAGATCTCACTTAGTTCCTTCCAAATTTCAACAGCACCACCAGTAAAACAGTGATTTTCCTGCATTTTGTTCAAGGCTACAGAAATAGGGGGTCAGGACAGTCAGCTTCTCTGGCATTCATTGATTCATGCCCGAATTTTCTAAGATCAGATTGAATCCCAGCCTGGCCACTGCCCTTTTAT